TTTAGCTTTCTTCACATTTGATCATATTAACAAAAACTAGCAATGCATGATATATCGGCTCCACTATTATTATTATTATTTTAATTTTGTTGAATCTGTAAGATCTGTCTTACATCTTTTGGATGAGACGTTAAACCGAGGTCCTGACTCATGGCAATTCTTGTAAAGAGTAGGGGTGTAACCTTGGTGTCCTGACCAAACTTCCTCCATTGGCCCTTACCCATCATGGCCTCTCAATCATTCCTATCCACCAAATTGGCTGTATCTCAGTGTCTCCACTCCACCAATAGCTGGTAGTGAGCACACTGACGCCATCGTCCTGTGGCTGCCCTCGCATCATTTGAGTGGATGCTGTGCACTGGTGGTGGTGTGGAGAGACTCCCTCATGATTGTGAAGCACTTTGGGTGTATGGTCAAACACAATAAATGTGCTATATAAACACACATTACATTACGTTTTTACATTACATAGAGTTAGTTTTTTTTCTGTTGAACATAAAATATATTTTTAAGAATATTGAAAACTGTAACCACTTTTGTTTTTCCTCATTATGGATGTGAACCTTTTTCCAATATTCTTCAAAATATCGTCTTTTGCATACAACAGAAAATAGAAACTCATAAGGGTATGGAATCTCTCGAATGCAAGTAAATGGTTAGTACATTTCCATTTTAAGGGGAACTATCTCTTTAATGTCAGGTGTACATGGGGTTTGGTTTTTAAAACAGCTAGAACGGCAAAAACATCCAACTAAAAAAAGAAACATTTCTGTACTTACAGGCCAGTTCCTGTATGAAGACATCGGTTTAACGCAGATTCCTGGAAATTTCAGCACAACTGGAGCAAACGGCACACAGGAAACACTTGGTAAAAACTTCACACTACCCAGTTTCCACTTCCTAAAGGTGAAAGATCGAAGCGTCGCCGTCATGAAGAAGAGCAGGAGAATCTACTCTGGAAAGCAGACGGTGGATTGTTGGTTCGCCAAAAACAATGCAGCTAAACTGATCGATGGGCAGCATGACGATTACATCGTTTCACATCTGTTTGACACAGGAGCTTGGGCTAATGAAACAAACACACACTGAAACACACACATACACACAAACTGATTATAGTAATACTGACAGGTTGTGACCCTAATGTATTCACACAAACTCTTTAAAATCATCACAAACACCCATAAATCATATTTTAAGAAGGTGATTTTTTCAGTAATATGTTTTGTAGTCATCTACAGATATATACTGTATATTTTAGTTAATATAATACGACTGTTTTGATACTAATAAATTAAATGTTGACAATAGACTGATTTATATATATATTTTTTATTTTAAGGTAAAGAGGATACAGATACAGATCAGCAAAGTAACTGATTTTTCAGGGTTTTTTACAATTCTATATATTAATATGTCAGAAGAATATCAATACATTTTTTCATAGTGATTTAAAGTGTTTCCGTTATGTTTGGAGACTCTTTTATGGTATTATTAAATGTATTAGAATATAATTTTCACAATATATAATTAATAATAAGATAATATATACTATTTTGACTAATTCATATAAATGTGTACAATCTTATTTGTAAAATATACGTAGTAAAAAAACGGCATATTAAGCTAATCAGGTTTCAACTAATTTTTTAAGTTCTACAAAGTTTAATCTAATATTTTAGTCAGTTTTGAAGTAAGTTGAGATGTCTAGAAACATTCATTTGATTTTTTTACAGTGTAGTATGATTTGCTTATCCCCCAGCGATGGTTAGGTTTAGGGGCAGGGTTGGGTGCCATGCCTCCTTTTTAAAATCGTACATTTTTGTACGACTAAACTCGTACAAATTAGCCACCAAACTGGCAAAACATAAAATAGTTACGTTTTCTCGTGAAATCAGGCTGGTTTTTCCACACATTTAAAAAATATATGAATAATATTTTGAAATAATTTGAGTGTTGACTATTGAATGTTGATCAATATGATTAAAAATACATAAATACTTAACCGATATGTAAGCTAACACGGAATCTGCGCGGGCAGAATTCCACAGATTTTTAGCCTATCATTGGTTCTGTTTATTTACTTGTGTAAATGGGTATAAATTCATATTTTATTATTTTTTTTAATAATTTCAGTAATATTATTAATATGAAAATATTTATATGATTTATTTACAATATAGTTTGTACAGTAATATTTTCTGTCTTTTAGTAGAGATATTGTATGAGAGACTTGCTTTGTTTACCAAATAAAGTGGATCTAATTGGATTAGCACTTTTATCATTAAATACAAGTTAAAAAGGGTATTTCTTTTTATTTTATATATTAAGGTTTTTAGTAATGACACTCCCAAAATCATTCCGCATAAATTTGCAGATTTTTTCCAAAATTCTGCACAGAAATTGCAAAAAATGTCTGCAGATTCCTTCTGGCCCCAAAATGGTACTGATACATTATGTTTTCACAGTTATAGAATTCTACTTTGTGTTACTTTATTTCTTAAACCAATATAAAATAAAAATTTCTGAACTACAGGTATATTACATTAAAAAAAAGATGGATATTTATAAACAATTAATAAAACTCTGAAGTGAATGAACATCAACCAATAACAGATACAGTTTTTACTTCTTAATCCAATGCAATATATTTTATGATGGACTATCTTGTATGAAATATATCAATAAAGGGTTGAAATTATTCATGAAATATTTCTTATCATACTGGTTGATCAGAATATATTACCCAACAATCGATATGGTACCGATATATTATCACAATATATCATTTGGAACACATCCTAAAAATCAGTCAGTAACACTTAAAAATAATGGTCCATTAGTTAATGTATTTACTAGCATGAACAACCATTTTTAATACATTTATTACATCTTTGTTAATATTAGTTAATGTTATTTAAGCTAAATAACGTTAGTTCATATCAACTCACAGTGCTTTATTGTTAACAAGCACAACTTTGGAGCTTAATAATTCATTAGTAAATGTTGAACTATGATTAATAAATGCTTTACCAGATTATTCATACTTCATACATTAACTAATGAACCATTATTTTTATATTTGTATCCTCATGATTCATTATTTTGACAAAAAAAAGTTTGGCAATAACTGATCAAAATTATTTTTTATGCAAAAAAGTGTATCATTTTATTATTCATTACTTTTTAGTTATCGGAACACATTAATGAATTTTTATTGTGTCACTAGAATACTTTTTGTTTATTTTGAGTTCTTATTTTTTTATATGTATTTAAAATTATTTAATAAAAAAATAAGAATATTTTAAATTAAACTGAACTTAAATTACAAAATTAAAATTTGACAGTAAATTCTATTAACCTCCCTTCCTCCCACTGTTTGCAAATTTTTTGAAATATAAAATATATTTTGTGTTGCCTATAGAAAGAAATGAATAAGAGAAACACTTCTTAAACTATCATTAAAGAAATAGTGGGTAATTATTGCAGCAATAAGAAATAAGCATGGTTAATTACACGAACCGCAAACGTACAAATGCGTGTTAAAGATCCATATCATCTGAGAACAGTGTTATCTCTACCTGATTTGACTGATGTCTGGATAAGGATGAGAAGTTTGGCCCCTGTCATCAGTCTGGGGTCAAATGGTCACCATGATCCTCCCAGTCCAGGTGTTCTTAGTTTGCTTTAACTCAAACAGACTTTTTTGTCACAAAAATGGGGCTTGCTGTGCTTACTGTGGTTATAACAATAGTCAATATGCCGGTTTTCACACACACTGATTGACACTGACATATATTATTTTTATTTGATTTGATTTTTTCTTTACAGTGGGTACGCAAAGTAGTCAGACACCCTTACATTTTTCTCTCTTTGTATAATTGCACCTCATATTGCAATCCAAAAACAGAATTGTTTACATTTTTGCAGATTTTTAAAAAAGAAAAACTGAAATATCTGTTTGAAATATCAGTCTAAGTACTTTCTATACACACTGTATAAATATTAAAAAGAAACATTACATCTAACCTAATTGTGCTTCTCAATGAGTGCGTACAACCAAAAAACAAGACTGGTCATGATGTTTCTACTTACCCCAATTCCAAAAAAAAAAAAAAAAAGTTTATAAAATGCAATGAAATCAAAAAAATGTGATTTGTTAAAGGGATAGTTCACAAAAAAATTAAAATCAATTACTCACCCATCCAAACCCGTTTGAGTTTCTTCCTTCTGTTGAACACAAAGTAAGATATACTGCAAAACGTTGGTGGAAAAAAATGTGCATCAAAAAAAAATGTAAATATGACTTTGTTCATCTTGATCTCCCACGCCAGATTAGTGTGTGTGTTTATTATAGACAATATGATGCAGAATTAAGAACGATTGCACATAGTAAACTCACCCTCATATGTGTGACGAGAAATGTTATGCTATTTATTTACAACCATTAGCAACTACCAACATAGTGGCTATTCATCCTGGGGTCTAACAAATAAAATTACAATTTTACATTAAATCACCATCAAAACCAATATAATTAAACATGAAACATTTTGAAATTTGAATGTGATTGAACTGAATGTCTCTGGAAAGTTGTTGCATATGGAGGATGAGGGAGCTCTCAGATTTCATTCATTGTTCTGGGAACAAAAGTCCCAGAAAAATGGAATACCTTCCATAGTATGCGAGTAATTAATAAAATAATTTTTGGCCGAACAAAAATATCCCTGTCGCCCGACTATTTTGAAGTCTGTTGTAGCTATTGTTATATTAATCGGTCCACATTTACAGAATACATTTTAACAATTTTGTTAATTAAATAAATGTTAAAGAAAATTAGCATATTTTTATATTGTATCCCACATGTTTGGAAATCGGTGTTGTAGTAGGTTGCTTTCTTTTAACGAAATCCTTCTAGATTATCTTTTTTTTTTCTTTTAGTATTTTTAGCCTTTCACGACTTACGTTTGTAAAAAAAAAAAAAAAAGGCTCAGTCAAACTCTGGTTTCATTTTTTTATTGTTTTTACATCGTAAAAAAGCATCAAGAGAATATTTTTCAATATCAAAAATGTTTCCTGAAACATGTTGAAGAAACGACATGTGCGAACTGAATTTCATCAATTTAAAAGACAAAACTTGACAATTCCTGTCAACATATGTCAACATATACACTTCTTAAGTAAAATTGGTTATCAGAATATGTGCACGATGTTGCAGCCGTAAAAAATTAAAACTATTATACCAAAATGGAATAAGGTACATTTTTCAAACATTACAGGTTAAAATTAATGCAATCTCATGGGAACACACAACTTTTGATTTAGCATCTAATTCCAACACTATCTCAAGCCAATTCGTCATTTTTAGTTTAATGGCTAATTTGTATCAATTTATGCGATGTCCTTCATACATTTTAGTACAATTTGCTCATCACACAATCATGATTGGGTTTAGGGGTGAAGTTTGGTGCCATGTCTACTTTTAAAAAATCTTACATTTTCATATGACTGATATTAGCCACTAAACTGACAAAACGTAAAATAGTTAAGTTTTCTTGTGAGATAATGTTAGCTAATTCATATGAATTTGTCCAACCTCATTTGTACATTTTATTACAGTTTGCTCATCCACCAATGATGTTGAGTTAGGGTTTGGGGACATGCCTCCTTTTAAAAATAGTTGTTTATATGAATGAAATCATATAAATTAGCCAAATTTTTTGGCAGTATGTAAAAAAAGTTATGTTTTCTTTTTAGATGAGGCTGGTTTATTCAACACTGAATATAAAAGTATATTCACACACACATTGCAAATAAAAAATAGTTTTCCCCCTGGAAAATAACAATTTGATCAGAATAACAAAAGTTTTCATTTGCTGTGATTGAAAACTACACTTTTTCTACAAAATGTTGATCACTTAACTATTTAGAAGTAAAAACTTTGGTATTATGTCTAAAAAAGTGTAAAGTATATAAGCATGTCTTAAAACATGGCACCTTGTTTTTTTGGCGGGAAAATAAAGAACTAAAACACGTTTTATTTAAATAGTTTTTGATCAATAGTTTATAGAACAAACATTCTGTCATAAAAAAGTAATTCTTTGTCTTTATGAACTTTTGTATGCTTTCAATAGCTGAATAAATATGAAATCTGGCCTGTTTCCGACTGCAGTGAGTTGAGGTGTTCTTCACAGCTAACACAAGCTCTTTAGTCTACAGTTGAAGAGTGCGAATGTCTATAATCAGGAGAAACTCCTCTCTAATCTTCTCTACTTTGAAATTAACTTCTCAGAAGTATGAACTGAGAATGTTTGCCTTTAAGAACTCCAATGCTATTTATTATCTTCTGCTGCTTTTACATTAACATACAAATTATCTAAAAAGTAAGTCACTGTCTCACTTCTCTCTCTCAACTCTTATATTTGGCTCTGAATGAGTTTTAGGTTACAGTAAAATGTATAACTTCGGCTTAGGCTTGTCAAATGCTGACCATTTAACCACATATTTAATTTACTGAATCTACAAGTAATACTAACACATTTTAAACATACAGAATTTCCATGCATTTTCTTAATATATAGTCTTTCTTAAAATGGTCTCATATGCAATATGAGCTGTCAGTGTCATAACAGAATAAAGAAATGGAGGTTTAGATATGGAATTTCAAATTGCATTTGTTTCAAATGTTAAATCAGATCCTAAATCTACTAAGCTGCCAAACTAGACAGGATTTCCTCACTGAACATTGTTCTTAGAATGTTCAGAATATGTAACAAAAATATAACTCGGATTTACCAAACAAACAAACAAACAAACAAACAAACAAACAAACAAACAAACAAAGAACAACAAATAAAATAAAACCAACAACAAAAATATTTCTTTTAGTAAATTTTCAGAACATTATGATGGCAGAGAACTATAGAAGCACATTGCTCTAACTGAAAAAAGGTGATCTCAAAATAGTTTATGAATCTTCAATTCTGACTTCTTAACTCATAACAATTTTGAAATTTAAACTTAATCTTTTACAAAGTTTAATTCTTAAAGAAAAGTAAGAAAAACAGAGTTATAAAGCCAGAATTGACTTCTAAATTCTCTTTTGCATATTTATAAAATGCAATTCTGGTTTCTTTACAAACAACTTCTATTCTACAAAGTTCTCAAAGAAAAATTAGAATTGCAAGTCTATTGCTGGGGAGAAAAGTCTAAATTGTGACATATAAAAGTCTAAATGAATATAATATATTTCTGACAATTGTTAATTCACGTCTCTGATTTTGACGCACAATTACGAGAAATGTAATTAATTTCAAGCAATTCTATCCAAAACATTTTTTTCATTCCAACTTTAAGAAAAAGGTCAGGACTGCAAGCTGATATAATATACAAACCCATAAGAATTGCGAGATCTGAGTGTGTAATTACAGGAGAAATGATGCAAATTACTTTTTTGACTTTTTAATCAGAGGCAGAAACAAGCTCCCATAAATAACATATTTAAAAGAATATGTTCTTTGTACGTTTGGTGTGATGTACAAAAAATAAACTGGACCATTATTTGTTCATCATAGGCACGCGTCCAACACAAAGACTACTAAAAAGTACTATGATACTTTTATTCTTATGTTGCGTTTAATATAAAGTCGCAAGTAAAAATATTACAATTATTCGAATATTCGACTACAGTGTGTCCCACTCACACCACAAGATGGCGCCATGACTTAACTAAATCATTTGGCAAATTCAAGAATTAAACTTTAAACATTAAATTTTTCCCAAAATGTTTATAGCAATGCTAATTCGAAGTGAAACATTGATACAAACCACACTTATAACCCACATAACATATATTGCACGTCCATACAATTTCCGCAGCAAAATATATTAAAGTAACATTTCACACTGAGCTAACATGTCAGATGTCCCACTGAGATTGGCATTCCAGACTTTTCACGTAGGAGACGGAAGTTTCGAGCTGTCTGGAACATAGTATTAGTATTTTGCCATTGTGTTGTTAGCTTAGCATCATGCTAACAACAAACAACTGGAGTCCTGTTTCATAAATAGGTCTATTTGTGTGGTTGCGTTGAGATTCCACCTAATTAAAGGTCCAAATCCATTCTTTCCTAATCAGGAAGCCGCCTTCGAAGGTAGTTGCCTATATAGGGAGTAAAACAAAGCAGCTCACTGGCTTTAGCGATTTAGAAGTAAACTATACTTCCAAAAGTGTGTTAAACCTCCATGCTGACTCGTATTAAGGCTTCTTCTGTTGTGACGTGATCTTCCTCTTCAGAACACACCGCTGCTTCATCATCTTTCTTTAGCAGCACCTACACAAACACACAAACATAGTATGAGGTCAATCGAAAAAGCCTGAACAGATCTTACACTTGATCCTTTTCCCATTCATGTGTTTGGAAAAAATTAAAGTGACATAAAACAATAAGTGGTCAGCTGAATTAGGCTACTTTTATACGGTGGAAATTAAAATTAGAGAACAACATCATTACTTCTTAAGTTCTAAGCAGATTTTCTAAGCAGGTTTTTCTGATCAAAGTTACATTCTTTCAGCAATAGCAAGAAAAAGTGGTCGCTCCAAAACTGTGACTTCTAAAATACTGCATCTTTACATTGTCATTAAATCATTCATGTTCCCCAAAAAGAATGGTGGTCCTTAAAAACAAATGAGAGAAAATAATAATGCAGAGAATTTCAACGGTTAATCAATTGCCTAAGATGGCAGACAAAGAAGTTACATTGGTTTTCAGTAGCTCCCATACTAATCAGCTAATTACTCGACATTATTCAACACAACCCCATGGTTTTGGTTGTGATTTGGCAACAATCTTTTTTGGTAATAGTGCCGAGAAACTCTACCCCAACCTTGTCAGAGGATTCACCTAAACCTAAATTTTGGCCCTTCTCCCCCCAAATAAAAGAGCCACAATAGAGATTAAGAGGTTGCCAATCCATGACCTAAACATTGTGACGGCAAAATTAGTGGTGATGATGAGTTAAGCCTTGCCATGGTGAAAGTGTTTGACACATGATGGAGATGATTATGAAAACTATAGACACCAACCTTGAGCCCTTAGGCAAGATTAGGCAACAACAAGAATATCACTTCAGCGGAGAAGTTAGTGTTGAGTGTGAAACCCTGTGTTTTAATCTTGTAAAGTCAATGTATAGAGCTCTAATATGGTGCTGATTCTTAACATAGTGTTTCAATGTCGAAAGTAAGCTGACCCAACAACAATGAAAACACTATTTTAACTTTCGCTAAGGAGAGAACTGTGGACAGACAACCAGTCCAAATTTAAGCTTAGTGATGGAATCTCAAAGTCTGATGAGAAATATTGTGTTCACAATCAAACTGTGGAAAGACTGAACCTAAAGTGTGTGCAGAAGACAGTAAAGGTGGATGTGAAGCATCTCTTTGACAGCTACACAAAAGAGTGAATGTAAAACATTTATAAGAAGCTCCTTCGGCAACTTGTGGTTTCTTCCATTCTTCCATTAATCAATCAGCCAAAAATGTACATGCAGCACATTAAACCCTGAACACAGCAAAACCGGTGAAGCAGATTCTTGAAGCTGAAAATATTGAAATAATGGAAGGGCCAAAGCCCTGATCTAAACCTGAATGAAACTCCTTGGTGACAAAGTTCTGGCTAAGAAAACTGACTAAAGTCAGTGAACTTTGGAAGACCCTGAAGCTGTCTCAGATCAAAGCAGAGCAGAGTGAGAGACTAATGATGTCCAAAACGAGGATTGTGTTTTTTAATGCCTAGTTTTCAACACTAACATGATTTTTTGAATAATAAACATTACCTAATTTCTGGAAAAAAAAATCTAGTGTTCATAAACTATATGCTTCTGTAATTCTGATGTCCTCCTTCATACTGGCACTCATAAAACACACTTTTCCACAGCATGAGCTTATGGAAACATGTTCTAAATGTCACTCCTCCCGCTGAACAAACGGATGATTTGTGAGTAGTTGGCACACTACCAAAACTGGAGGAGTGAAGGAAAGAGGGATGAGCAAAAAATAAAAGCGGAGAGGAGAAAATCAAAGAAAAAAGATGGGAAAGACCTCCTATTGGTCAACATGTTGACACCAATTGACACTAGAAGTCAGTGGCCTTTGGAAAAGTCTTTGGTCGAATGACGAATATAAGAAATAAATGGGAAAAAATCTGTCCAGTAATCACATTCACACAGCACAATCCCACCATTCAAAAAGATGAATACAAGACACAAATACACAATTAAACTATTCATATAGAATCTCAGAATGAAAACATTGATTTCAGCTGGTAGATTTCATGCTTAATATTACATGCAAGAATCAAGCCAAACTAATTTAAACACGCCTGATTTTGTGTGTTTTCCCACTAACAAAAAAGATAATACATCTTATAGACATCTTATAATTGTAATTATAGGTTTATTTTAACTGTGAGAGACAGAATAGCAACAAAACAATCCAAAAAAATACATTAAAAAAAAAAGTTATAGACTGATTTTTATTTTAATGAGTGACATGCGTATTTGATCCCCTATTAATAAGCAGGTTTTCTGACTACCAGGTGTCTTTTATACTGGTAAAAATCTCAGTTTTCTTACCTGTATAAAAGACAGCTGTTCACAAAAGCAATAAATCAATCAGATTTCAAGCTCTCCACCATGGCCAAGACCAAAGAGGTGACCAAGGATTTCAGAGACACAAATGCAGACCTGTACAAGGCTGGAATGGACAACAAGATTATTGTCAAACAGCTTGGTGAGAAGTTGACAACAGTTGGTGCAATTATTCACAAAGGAACGAAACACAAAACAACTGTCAATCTCCCTCAGTCAGGTGCTCCATGCAAGATCTCACCTTGAGGAGTTTCACTGATTATGAAAACAGTGAGGAAACTGCCCAGAACTACACAAGAGGATCTTGTCAATAACGTCAAGGCAGCTAGGACCATAGTCACCTGGATAACAATTGGTAACACACTAAATTAAAATCCTGAATCCTGGGTTAGAGTTGATTTGGGGGGTGGACTGTAAAGGGGTGTCGTCGGACAATAGTGAACGGGCGGGGGTGTCGCGGAAAAACGTGAAAAGCAGACAGGGGATGAGGGCGGTTGAGGAGGGGGATCGGTAAAATGAGGTGCCAGATCCGGAGAGTTCTGGCACAAATTAAGCCCTGTATATACGCGTGCGCACACACACACACACACACACACACACACACACACACACTCAAACACACACACACACACACACACACACACACACACACACACACACACACACACACACACACACACACACACACACACTCAAACGCTTGCTTGCACCCACGCACGAACGCACGAACGCGCACACACACACACACACACACACACACACACACACACACACACACACACACACATTTGATTTACATAATTTGAAGTGGTTCTAAACTTTTATGATACATTAACTTGTGGTTAAAAGTCAATAAACTCATGCTTTTGACAGCAAACATGTTTTGGTCCTGATCAATATTGGTTCGTAATATTTAATCTATAATACTTCATTTAAAGTACTTTCTTTCACATTTCCTTTTGTTTTGCATTTTTTAAGGATAGCATTTTTTAGATAAGGTCATATTATGTTTGACTTATTATGCAAATACTGTATATTTAAATGAAAAACATGGTTCTCGAGGTCATTAACACGGTATATGCTATTGAGTAATTTTCAGTAAGTAAACTCATTTATTAAGCTATTCGGACAGTACATAATACACTATACTATACTACTATAAATATTTGAATATTATTATATATATTTTAATAATTTTATAATTATTCTTTGCATTTAGCTTTTTAGCATTGATTTTTTTTCTCCTCAGTGTGACTTAAAACTAACCATTTGAGAACCATTGAATTAAACTAAACAGGGGTAAAACGTCCAAAGGGACAGAATTGTGGAACAGGGTCATTAGGATCAGATTTAGGAATTTTTTCTGACTCATTCTTTCCTGGATCTGAACAAGGATTTGCTAAACCCAGAAAATAGAAACTCATGGGGTTCCCACATGATGATTTGATGAAAGAAAATCCTACAAGAGGTGATTTATTAGTAAAATATGACCAAACATTTGCATTTGTTAACTTAAAGGCAGCGTAGGAGACATTATGCACATTTTTTTAAAATATGCACATCTCAGCATATCCATTAAGCCTTTTTTATGTGCAATATTCCAAAATGCACATAAAAACAGTTTGCTGGAAACACTACAGTTATTACAGTTATTATAGTTAAAGTATTGCTTTGCTTACATTTCACCCTAAATTACTATTGGATTGTGTGTGGTGCACCATATTATTTGCCATTTGATTCAGATTGTGAATATTACATAGATTATTTTCTAAAACAAGTATTCTTTTATGCATCTGATGAATATTCTCACCTCAGCTTCATCATTGCTCTCATCTGGCAAAGCGTCTACTTGTTTCGGAGAGTCGCGTGAGCCTTCCAGAGACGTCATCTTCTTATATTTGCGCATTGTTAAACTGTCCACCACCCAGAACATTATAGACTGAAACACAAACATAAGGCATTATATTACTTCCACATACTTACAGGATGGATGGATGGATGGATGGATGGATGGATGGATGGATGGATGGATGGATGGATGGATGGATGGATGGATGGATGGATGGATGGATGGATGGATGGATGGATGGATGGATGGATGGATGGATGGATGGATGGATGGATGGATGGATGGATGGATGGATGGATGGATGGATGGATGGATGGATGGATGGATGGATGGATGGATGGATGGATGGATGGATGGATGGATGGATGGATAGATAGATAGATAGATAGATAGATAGATAGATAGATAGATAGATAGATAGATAGATAGATAGATAGATAGATAGATAGATAGATAGATGACAGACAGACAGACAGACAGACAGACAGACAGACAGACAGACAGACAGACAGACAGACAGACAGACAGACAGACAGACAGACAGACAGACAGATAGATAGATAGATAGATAGATAGATAGATAGATAGATAGATAGATAGATAGACGTTATGCATGTTTTAAGCATGACTCACGTTGACTATGAAAGGCACGATAAGCATGACGATGGCCAGCTCCAGCTGTGGGTTTGGGATGTAATCCAGCACCACCTCCTCCAACTACAACACACAAAAAACAGCCATCAAGCCTTACAGACATCTATCTCTTAAATAATGATAATATAATAATAAACAATTGGATATTTTTTTTTATCTATCTCTTTGTTCTGAAATAAAATAAAAAACTACAGGAGGTAAGTCTAACTGGGTCTTATAATGTGATTATCGTAATTGTAATTAGTTTGCATTTGATTTGATTTGTAACTATAGTAACAATTTTCTTAAGGAGAAGAATTTTCTTAATTTCACCTAACGCCGCAAACTACTAATTGCACATTACTATATTATTAAAGGCTACAATTAAAAACATAGCCCAAACAATGTTGCTTTTTAAAGCTATATCAATTAAAACATAAATACCACAGTTAAATAGTAGATTTAACATGGATTAAGCAAGTACATGTAAGGTGAGATATTGATTTATGTTTACATTGTGCTATAACGTGCAGTGAAGAAGGATGGAATGGATTTATTAACACAAGGCTCACTGGAAATATGTGGTTTTTTAAAACCACAACAGCATACATTTGACTGCAGATTCTAGGTAAAATGAACAATAGGAGGCATTATGACATTTTGTTCCTTTTCACACATGATATACATGATATTTAAAGGGACATGTTATTGATGAATAACATATCATTTTCATGCATTTCTTTGCACAACAGCAAATAAAACTTACAAAACTACTTAATGATGTCTATAATGTGTAATCCTATTTATTTGCTTCACATTTCTATATACATGGACGACTTTTCTGGCATGGTCAGTTTATACAATGTTGTACTTGTGATGCAGAGTGTTTGGATTTGAGCCCAGTGAAGCACTGCTTCACAAAAGAGATAAAGGCAATGTAAAATCAACGGAAAACCTGTGTACTTTCTCTTAAGTTTACTTATTAAAACACTATCGGTTGGGTTTTGGTCAGTGATTTGCTGGGTGATCTGTATTAAAAGCCCCACCCTCTCTTGGATGTGTACAAGATGGCTGTGTATCTGAATTGCACTACAAATTGTATTGTAAGTATTTCAAATTTGCTAAAATGTACACAGCGCCCTCTAGTGGATTTGTCGTTTGAAACATGCAACAAAATGGACCTGAAGCAACGTATTTTGCACTGCATCTCATTGCATTGATTTACTTATTTGAACTGTACATACCCACTGCACATGAACATCTGTATATATGTACACCCCCATTGCACATTTACATTTTTAATCATGTTTATTTATCTGCACACTACTGATTATTACCAGCAACCTGTACATATATTAATTTATTGTTAATCTCTGTTCATAGCCAATACAACCTGTATATAATGTTCATAGTACATCCATCTGTAAATATCAGCATAGTTTTTTTTATAACTGCACTTTATAACTTATACCTGTATCCTACACTTGCTGCTATTGCACTGCTGGTTAGACCTAAACTGCATTTCGTTGCATTGTACTTGTACATGTGTAATAAAAATAAAGTTGAATCTAATCTAATCTAAATTTTATGTTTTGCAAAAATGTAGACTGAGGGACATATTTTCATTTAGACTGGATAAAATAACTCAAATTTGAGTAAATGCTAGCCCAAAGTAACAAATGACACCATTATTTCAATGATGCCATTTTTTAAGATTAGATGTGCTAAAATCAAGTGACGCTTGATACAAAAAAAAAATCAAGCAGAGACTAAAACATTAATATTGGAAAGTAAAAATGAGCATCAAGCCATAAAAATAAATATACATTTATTAGTATCAATATAAACGTAAATGTTTTAATAAAAAACATGTTTCATATACCAAATTTTATGTTTTATTACTGGTCAGTAAATATTCATAAATAAACATTCTGGTCTAGTTCACCAACTGCACTTGGTGCAGATTGAAAGCCGACTCATGTGCATCTACTTCACTGTTGGCTTCCTGTACTTTTCCCCTATCTTTCAATGTCTCCTCCTCTTCCCGAACACATAATCCAGTAGTTGTTGCTTCAGTTCGGATCTGGTGCCAATTCAGAAGACAATTTAATTTGACCTCTGCTTCAACATTAATGTCCCTACTGGGAAATCATGTTTTCCCTATTCCTTACGGATCCTGTTTTTAAGCAATGGTATGCAAGGTTTAAAAAAATTTCTGGGCCTGTATAGAAATGGTCTTTTTTGTAACTATACACAACTTTCCTCTGAAATGGAGTTGTCAGAATCCCATTTTTTAGATTCTTACAGGCTAGACATTGCTCTGCTACTTTATTTTCAGGTTACCCATCTCTGCCTAAGCCACAGGTATGGGAAGAGTTACTGCAACTAAAAAACATGTTTCATGTGTACAGTGATTAAAAACATAACTGTATTTGTTTCGAACTAAAAGACAGGTACTACAATTTTAGTACAAATACACTGTTACACACCAGTACATGCATAGCTTTTTTTCAAGCTATAAATAAAACAAGACTAAAATTGCATTAAATAGACAAATAAATATTGAGCACATTAATTAAAATCAAAAATTTCTATTATGAAAATCATGCTTTTTCATCATCTTTCCATCCCATCTTCCATACTAGAATGCATTTCAAATAGTATTGTGTTTATAGGCATGTAATTTGCTCATTTAATAATAAAAAGATGGAATGTAATTACATTTTTTAGGAAAATTGTAATCATTTTTATAATTAGTATTATTAGTAGTAGTGTAATTAGAAAAAGTACAACCACTTGACATATTTTTAACACAAGCAAGCTGTTACATATCATTCACAGTGGGTACAGATATACTTGCTGACTGTAGTTCAGTGTTTCTTTAGCTAGTTTTATTAAATATTGTTAAAGAAAATTAGGCCAGTGTTGTGGTGAGTCTGTCACAATAACAGAAAGTGTGAGTGTGTGAATGTTTATCTTACATTGGTCCATCCAGGAATGAGCAGCACCAGAGAGACCACACTTTTCTCCAGAGCAACGATGAGTAAATACACTGAACACTGAGCCACCCATGCCAAGACTCGAGGAGGATCACCTAGAATAGAATTAATAACCATTTATTTACATTTTGTGTCAAAAAATTCGAGACTATTGATATTGCAGTGCTGTTCTAAATGGATCAGTACCACAAACACAAATAAACAACTAACAAAAAAAGAGATACAAACAAAATTTAATGAACAAATATTAATAGAAAAGAGCACTACATCAAGGTAAAACATAACAACTGTTATGTCTTTGAGATTCTAGACCATAATCACAATTATTTACATGATCATTATCTTTATTTTAAAGCATCAATATATATATATATATATATATATATATATATATATATATTAATATATGTAAATAAACTACGAAATTTGTCAATTAGTAAATATGCCTTTATAAATAACTAAAATGTCAATATATTAATACATTTATTTAAAAAAAATAATAGAACTTTCATTAAATAAACAAAACACAAAACATGTCAAAAAACCTTGCATAAATAAACAAATTAAGAAATGTAATTACAAATTATTATTATGTGAATATAATTATTTTACAAACAAACAAGGTGTAATAACACGTCAGTAAATAAAATAAACAAACTAACAATTCATTATTTACCCATTTTTATGATAATTATTAATTTAAATATTTACTGATATTTAACAAACAAATGTATTAGTTTATGTAGCCTAGCAATCTTATTCCTCCCTGTACAAAGACGTATTTTTAAAATCATTTAAATAATGATTACTAAGAGGAAATAGCAAATGTGCTGATATTTTAGCATATCATCAAATTGTTTATTTTTCTATTTGAACGTTTTTAAATGTTCAGCTCCCAAACTTTTCTGGTATATTAAACATGTCATACAGTCAAAACAAGGATTCAAAAACTGACCTAAGCAGAAAAGTAGTCAAGAACAATTACTTGGCCAAAAAAATCTGAAACGGTGGGCGTTGTCCATCTGCTTTGTGTAAATGTGTGTGCAATTTTGTTTTGCTATGGTGTTTTACCAAGGGAATCCCTCAGAAAGTACGGGGAAACTACATCTAAGCACATTTGCAAAATCTATTAAGCAGCGCCCTCTGGTGGCGAAATGTGATAAACGGATAAATCGATTTCTTTTGTTTTGGTTCTTGTTTTTTTCTGGTCAACATAACAGAATCATTCAACTTTTACCTAAGCTCCTTTCTTTTCTTTTTTTTTTTATCTATTCAATCATTAACAATGGAGTTTATCACTTTTACTCACCATATTCTCCGAACATTAGCAGTGTTATCTGTTTATGTTCCACTATTTTGGAAACAACTTTCACTCCCACCCAGATCACAAGCATTCCCAATGTGGCATCCAACAAGAAGTTCAGCAAATATCTGTCAAACAGAAAACAGACAGGTAATGTCATGTTAAAGCTATACACTCTAAAAGATATAGATGACATCTGAGAGCTCTTTCGTCCTCCACAGACAGCAATAGTCCTGACTCATTCAGAAAAATACCATATTATCAAGCTACAGGAATACTTTTGTTTGTGTGTAAAACAAAAATTACAACATTGTTACATCTCCTCAGAGGCAGCATAGGGTGTGTTTATGTGATGAACATTTATGTGTAATTTTTCTAAACTTTAAATGAGTTGGGATTTGGGAACCTTGCTATCTATAGAGGATTAGAGAGCACTCAGATTTCACTTGAAATCATTTAAATCTGTTAAACAGCAAAGTAGGTCCAAGGAACTCAAAAAATTTGGAAAATTATTATTTTCTAATAAATAGTAATTATTTATTGACTTATTTGAATATTTTTCCACATTTTTCAAGTGCCTTTGAATCTGCGGATTTCTGCGGAATTATTTTGGGAGTATCATAAATAAAACATTAATATGTGAAATAAAAAAATAATATCTTTTTAACTTTTATTTAATGTTTAAAATGCAAATCCAATTAGATCCACTTTATTTTTGTAAACAAAGCAAGTCTCTCATATAATATATCTACTAAAAGATAGAAAATATTACTTTACAAAGTGCACTGTACATAAATCAGATGAACATTTTCGTATTAGTCAATAATATTACTATAATTAACTTAAAAACTGAATAAACTTAGATTTACTCAAGTAAATAAACAGAATTAATGATGGGCTAAAAATCTGCGAAGATTTGCGGTAAATCTGCGGAATTCTGCATGCGCAGATTCCGCGTGGGCCTAGCAATTGGTCATTTTTTCATAGAGCGCCCATTTAAGGGTTACCTTTCAAGTTTTCACTAAGTTTGTAAGATATTAAACCATTCTAAAGAGACAGAAGGTTAACCAGACAATAACTGAAGTGAGACACTTTCAGCCGAAGGAAGTTTTTTTTAGCTGTAATCTTTCTTTGTGCTACAATCATTTTTGTTCACTATTTCTGACCACTGTGTTCTGCTCAAATTAAAATGTTTTTACTGTTGTAGTGGCTTCGTTGTATTGTACAACGCTGTTCTACAAGCATGGTATTATGACAACAAACTTCCCTTTACATTTTGGATGATGAATTAAGTCTAAAAAACAATTAGTGTTTATAAATTCTTCTCTAATTTTGATAGCACACTCACAGAGAGCAGGGATCTTCATTGGTGAGTGTGGAAAGGAATATGTTGGCAAAATGCATGAAAAGAGCCCCGACCGCTTGTTTAGAAGTGTCAAAGAACCTGGAGGACAAAAAGACAGAATAAGAGCTCTGTTTTATTTATTTTTTTATTATTATTTTACCATAAGTTTGAGAAATGTTAAATATCATCACCAGATCTTCCAAGGTCTTCTTATTCCAACAGGTTCACGAAACCTCTTCACTGTAAAGATAAAGACATAATTTTACTAATACGTCTTCTTCAGGTCACCGAGATATTTAATTGATAAAACATATACAAATACTACAGTAAGTAAAAAATATTAATTCAGTTTAAAAGGAGTTTTCAATTTGAAAATATTTAAAAATTTTATTTATTCATATGATTCCAAGCTGAATTGTTAGAATCATTACTACAGTTGTCAGTGTCACACGATGCTTCAGAAATCATTATCAATATCATAATCATTATCAATGAAGTCATAGCAAGTCTATGACTAACAAAGTATAAGTATTGCACTAATAGTAGCATGCTTAGTGTTGCTAGCAATGTTAAAACAAGTCAATCATGAGCTAAAACATCCTAATTGGTACTACAATGTTTGCTATGTTTGAAACATTTTAGTTAAACAAAAACGTAAACACGGTAGAAATATAGCACTGTGTTAAGACATGTTAAACTTGCTAAAACATTCTAGAAACATGCTAGAAAATAAATAATGCTAGCAATATGTCAAGTACAAATCATGTTGGCTGTAAGGGTTAACACATGCTAACAACAAACATGTTCATAATGTAATAAAATAAACTAGTAATATGCTAGCAAAATTAAATAAATATATAAGTAAACTACTAAGTAAATCGACTGATTAATTAAAAAAAAAGATAAACAAATCTAAATAAATATGCAAGTAATATGAGAAGTTGTTTGCTTTAAGAAAATGTGGCTCCAAACCTAAAAAGTAGTGCTACTTCAAGTCTAAAGATGGACTGTTTTTTAATAATGTCAAGTAATAATTTGAATGATATCCAAATGTGATTAAGAAACATGTAGCGGTTTGGAGCCAATGGAGAGTAAAAACAAACAAACAAACAAACAAACAAACAAACAAACTAACAAACAAAAAAACAAACAAACAAAAAACAACAACAACCCACACACACACACACACACAGTTGGAAAACATTACATTAGTTAACAAATTATTAAATCAAAATTTAAATCAAATTTGATTTATTTCAAAAACATAAAGCATACTTATCAAAAAGTAACATTAAATATAATAAAATAGTTAAAAAAATAGAGGTTCGTTCTCATCCAAAATGTCCACAGACTCTAGTGGTTCAAAAATGTTGCAAGTTTCTTTATAGTTAAAGACTAAATGAAATATATTGAAGAAAGCTGCTGGAAATCTGTAACCTTTGGCTTTCATAGTAGAAAGAAAAATACTATAGAAGTCAGGGGATACCAGCATTCTTCAAAAAGTATTCTTTAGTTTTCAACAAAATAAAGAAACCTCCACAGAGTTGGAACAAGTATAAAGTAGGTAAATGATGATATTATATTCAGAATTTACTCTTTAATCCTGATATAAATGCTACATGACAAACAAATGAATACAATAACAACTAAAACACAAATACAGTGCCTATAGAAAATCATCATACCCCTTTGAAATATTGACTTTATTTGTCATTCAGCCAGAAATCAAATCAAATTCCAAAGAACTTTCGCAGTCTTTAAAATGTTTTTGTAGCCTCTTCTCTTAACATGTGCCTTTCTTCAACTTTATGCCTCAGGTCTTTTGAAAGCAGGGAGTAATGTGAGTAAACCAGGGGAGGGCAAACTCGGTCCTGGAGGGCCGGTGTCCTGCACAGTTTAGCTCCAACACTAATCAAACACACTTAACAAGCTAATCAGTGTCTTCAAGATCACTAGAAATCTATAAGCAGGTGAGTTTGATTGGAGTTGAAGCTAAACAGTGCAGGAGACCGGCCCTTCAGGACCGAATTTGCACACCCCTGGAGTAAATGTATAGAATTTCACAGGGTGTAATGATTTTCTAAAGGCGTATGCTGTTGCTTGCCAAATCAAAAAATATATGAATACAAATTGGAATTTAAATGCAAGGTTACCATTGATGTACATCAATGCTCCATAAAGAAAGAGAGTAATCAGAGAAGACTGAAACTTAGTGCTAACCTAGGTAACTGCCACACATTGAAGCAAATCTTTTTCAAAAACGCAAACGGTTATTGTGTAATCAACAACTATACAGAAGCAGGATTATTATTGAACGTCTGAGGAAACCAACAGTGATGATTTCAGCAAAGATAAGCTGCCAAATAGAAGCCAGGAAATGCCCAGAATAACAAAAAGGAAGTGCATACAGTAAAAACACAAGCATACGCAGAGGCTCAACAGGGTTTACAAAGTACAAATGTGTCAACCTGAAACTGGCATTTTCTGAAACCCAAGTAAAAAAAGTATGTTTTGCTTCAAAAACAACAACAGATTTCTGATAAGAAACTAAAGATTTGGATAGCTTTCCTCCATACACAGCAAAAAGTTTAATGATCAACAGGAACAGCAAAGTTCCATGGTAATGTATAACTCTAAGGCCAGAGGTCTTTCACCATGTGGTATTGGGTTATTCGGTACATGGCCTAGAAAAACAAACTGTTTTTGGGAAATATTGCTACATGTTCACTTTGCATGATAAAAATGTGAGTGGTGCAAATCTTACCACCACTATTTCTAAGATATTTTAAGTGTCATTTAAATGTTGCTATGCAGATGTAAGGGTGTCCATGGCAGTTGGACATCACTAATCTCTCACAGACATTACTAGTCTCTCACAAATTGGTCTCCTGTAATCTTAGACTGCTCTTCAGTCTCTTTCATTTCAGTTTCATTTGGGTTTATGTCAGGGCTCTGGGCTGCCCTTTCATTATATCAATGTTTTAAGCTTCAGGACTCTGTTTTACAATTATCGTCCTGCATGTAAACAGCTGGCTGATTAGGCAATTGAAGAATAGAAGGAACAACATGTTGCTAAAGGAGCTTCTGACCAATGTTTACATTTACCATCCAACCATGAAACTTTACCTCCACCTTTTATGACTTCTGCACACACTTTGGGTTCAGACTTTCTAAAATTTATGATGAAAACAATGTTTCTCACCAAACTTAAAGCTTTCATCACTAAACTTAACTTTGGACAAAATATGCTCCTCAGCAAAAGTTAAAATAGTGACCAAAATCTGCCTCTCTAATCCTACCCAAAACCTAAACCCAACTTCTACCTTATTAACTATTAATAAACAGCTAATTAGTAGTTTATTAAGCTAATAGTGTCAGTTAATGGTTTGTTACTACAGTTAATTGTGACCTAAACTAAAGTGTTGTTTGATTATTTCTACCAATGAAGGTTTGTTCAATGCAGGGCTTTCAGTCCAGATTCTCTTCAATGTCAAAACACTGTATGTGGAGATACAGATCATTACAATGTTCGGAGCTGAACTGAGAATCAATTCCAGCTGCAGTGTTGAACTGTTTGACAACTGAGATTCTGCAGATTATCCTGTCCTTTCACACATTTGTCTTTCATGGATAATCAGCTGATGTGAGGGATTTAAACAAATATGTAAAGATGCAATTTTCTAAAAATCACAGACTAGTATCTAGAAGCCTCATTGCTTAGTTTTTCAATCTGCTGTCTGAGGGGTTTTCAGTCACTATAGAATGGTTCACAATCTCACAAAGTCTGTGAAAACAGAAATGTTGCTCTGTCAGTTAAATAGGGTGGTCAGATAATTCAGGAAATTACCACCAGATGCAGATTAACAGCTATAACTGAGGATCTGAAAATGTTCTCAGTGTTCTTCAAATGTCTCTGTTTTTTTTATTCTGTGCTTCATAATAAATAATAATATGCAAGTGACCTCGAAATTTCCACATTCACAATATAAAAGAATGTAAAATGGCTTGAACAAAGAATTAAAATATTATTACCAAATATTAACCATGCAAACCCTAAACTGTATACTGAATAAGCACATGACATAGTTCAATACTGGGAAACAAACAAGTCTGAATTGGACCTTAGGGGTCAAATTGGAAAGTCAGGTCACATGACTTGAACCCTCCAGCTGGAAATGAAAAATGTAGCTTGAGTTTAGAGTCTTGAGAGCATCACGTGAACTATAGGAGTGAATGCTGTTATCATAAAACACATATCTGAGGATTCCTATCTTACATTTTATTTATTTTTATTTTTTTGGTTTGTGGAAGAGTCAAATGCTACTTTCTTAACCCTTTCTTACGTAAGATTGAATACTTCAGCTGACACCCCAAGTGAGTTTTTTAATGTGACTGTTATTTAGAATGCATCACTTATATATTTTAATATTCATACATCTAGTTTACCGCATGACACATCACAGCCGCTGCAGTGTAGAGATATGAGCTTCTGGATTTACAACATGTAAATTCATCCCTTGGGTGTAACTAAAGTCATCTCCTGGGTGTTACAAGAATGTTCTGTGTGGTTGATAGAGCATTTGGATTGGTGGTTTGGAGATTGCTAGAGTGCAGCTATGTAATTTCTAGAGTTTTCTGTGTGTAAGATGTTACTAGGAGGTCAGTGTGGATGCTGAGGTACTGGGGTGGTTGGGGTGTTATGTGGGAGTTCAGTGTGGATGCTGAGGTACTGGGGTGGTTGTTAGGGTGTTATGTTTTTATATATACAAAGCTTAACTCTCTTGTTTTACTTCTTGGTTACTCTCTTATTTTCACAATGTATAATGAGAGAATGTTCTTTTAAAAGAACACTCCACCTTTTTTTGGAAATAGGCTCATTTCGTCACCTTAGAATTATAAGGTTGTATCTGACATTTTTCTTAAAATTGAGTTATTGACTAATTTATTTTAGGTTTTTTTTTTAAAGTTGTTACACACATACTGTTTGCTATACGGAATGCAAAAACTTTGATGCTCAATATTTCAAAATCATTCAGAACTCTGATAAAACCTTATAATTTCCAGATGACGATTTTACAACTCTGCTTAGTTAAAAAGTTGAGTTTTACCATTTTTAATCTATTTAGCTGATCTCCAGATCTGGCGGGAGGACTTTAAGCTTAGCTTAGCATAAACCATTGAATCAGATTAGATCCTTAGCATTATGAAAATCAAAACTTTTCAAAAAAATATTTTCACATTTAAAGTTTAACCATTATGTAGCTACATTGTGTAAAAAGACCAAGGGAAGATGAAAAGTTGTCTTGGTCTAAAGTTGGTCTAATCTGACTTAATGATTCACGCTAAGCTAAGATAAAATTGCTTCTGCCAGACCAGGAGTTTGGCTGAACAGATTTAAAAATTGTTAAACAACTGTTTAACTCTAAGGGACTAAAAAAAATCGAGTATTCCTTTAACTATTGCCAAATAGCTCATCCATCATGAAACAAACAGATCGCTATAGGCACTGTGTTTGCAAACTCTTGCTTTGATTGTGATCCAATCAATTTCCAGTTGATAAACTCAAGCCATGTCCTACATATATACTCACTAAATGTCCAATTGATTGCAGAAATATACAAAATTATGGATGTAAAAAGACGTGTAAAAAAAATAAATAAATACATTTTTAGAAACTATCACTATTCCTGAATTTTTACAATGTGCATATTTGTCATCTACAATTATGATTTGTTAGCAGGTGACAATTGTATATGTATTGAATGCTGTCTAAATGCCATGTTTCTCATTTGATGATAAAATATTAATGAACTTAAAGATTGTACATTACTTGGCTTTGTTCATTTAGGCCATTGAATAATGACGCGTAGTGCAGTTAAAAATCACAAGCATGTTACTTGCTGGAGAATTAAACACTTCAAACTCGTTTTACAACTCCCCTAGAGTTAAACAGTTGAGTTTTATCATTGTTTAATCCATTCAGCAGATCTGGGTTATCTTAGCATAAATCATTGAATCAGATTAGACCATTAGCATTTAGAATTAAACATTTCAAACCTTAAAATAAACTAAAAAAATAATAATAATAAATATATATATATATATATATTGTCTGCTGTAAATGTATATATTTTAAAATATTTAGATTTTATTCCCCATTATTATTAACCGGGTTGTCTCTAATACTTTGGAATAGTTTTGTCATTGTTAAATAACAAATGAGCAAACATTAAAATTCTGGTAGCTACTATTAACTAACAAGTGAATTTAATAAAATAATATAAATAGAAATTTGCACTTGGTGTTGGCTAATCGAGAACTGCTTTTTTGTCATACTGACTCAGATTCAGCATGGATTTGAATTTTTTTTTTAACTTAACATGTTTATTATTTTGCTCATTAAATTTGGGATTCAACTCTTGGTTCAATTCAGTTAATATAGATTTACAAATGTACTGTATAATAATATTTAATAAATAATACAAAAGCAATATGTTTACAAAAGTGAACAACAAAAATTTAATGATGCAATTTTGGAACTTATTTATTTTAGTATTTTTGTAATTTAATTAATATCAAAACTTCTTCAGAAGGAACAACTAATTGTTTAGAATATCATTCTAAAGTGAAAAACTTTAATCTTTAATCACTAAGCTTTAAAGGTTTTTATTTCTGGTGATTAGGTCAGATGGAATTAATAACAGAATATTTATTTACGGTGTAACTTAATTTTAAATAGTTAACATTTTGTAGTTTTACAACTGTATATTTTGACAAAATAAATGGGCTACATCTGCAATTCTCATTTTATAAATTAAATCAAATGGATTTTTGCATGTAGCATTTTTAGAGTACAATTTACAGTAACCTTTTTTTTAATGCATCCTACATTTTCAATAAATGTAAAAAAAAAAACATGGTACCCTTTGACAAAACCATAGTATCCTTATGAAAATAAATTGCACTAGTAGTGAAATGTAATAAGATTTTAATTGGTCCCATGCTGAAATCTGATACATGGCCATATATAAGCATTAGTGTTGGGTAAGTTACTACAGAAAAGTGATTTATTACTAATTACATAATTAAAATTGTATGTAAAGTATATTTCCTATTATATTTGACTATCTCTAAAAAATAACTTAAAATAATAAGTTATACTTAATAAGTAACTTAATTACTTGACTCAATACAACTTAATTTAATTTCAAAACATGCAGAATACAAATGAAATTAAAAAAAAAATTTTTTTATCTGACAGGGCTTTTTTAGCTTACAAAAATAAGACTTAAGAAATGATATCAAAACAAAAAAATTTTCAAAGTAATAACGACGTGATTTCTTAAACATAATATTTATATTCCCCACTCAGTTCATTGTTTTTTAAGAATGTGTGATCATCGAACATCTCTAATCGTCTTTATTTGAGTTATTTAGCAAACATATTTGTATAACAAAAAATTTAAAATCAATGAGTACAAAAGCTCTGCTTCTCTGAATTGATTTATGAAGAACTTTTGATTTTATGCAGAATATATTGGACGAGTAGGCCTGTAACTGTAGTTAAATTGCCCAAAAATGAAAAGTATTTTTTTTTTCACAGGTAGGCTAACATAAACAAAAAATGTAATTCTAAAAATTAAAAATAAATCTCTTTTTGGTGATTTTAAACAAGGTTCCATTAAAATACATTTATTAATTCATCATCCTTTGGCTTAATCCCTTATTGATCAGGGGTCGCCACAGCGGAATGAACTGCCAACTATTACATACATATGTTTTACGCAGCAATATATTATTTGTATTATTATTATATTATATCGTGTTAATACAGTGGTTTTGGATAAGGTAACATTCCAATTTCTGCTGAAAGATCATATTAAGCAGTCTGTCTGAAGCCTATACATCGATGTACAATAGCCTGTAAAGTAAACAAACAAACCTTAAACCACGTGATGCGTCATTCTTAAAAGGAAACAATAAGAACACATTACCACACAGAAACATAGTTTCATTTCAGGTTTCTGTTTAAAAGGTTAAAGAAACTTACACATTAAAGTGCTGAAAGCCAGAACCGCCAACAGAGCCTGTATAAAAACACTGAATCCGTCCATCAGAGCTCCGTCCACGCAGCCCTGATACTCCGGGCTCACCAAATCAGTCATATTAATGCTGTCTTTCACAAAAACAAACATGTTTATGCCTAAAGCCCAAAAAAACAAGTCATAAAATCCTTCCTGTAACAGATATCCTCGGAATTCGGCGTAACGTTAAGTCGCTTTTCCATATAACTTAACTCTGCGGACAAGCAATTTAGCAGGCGAATGATGAACCGATGTCGCAAATAAACCGGTCGAAGTGTTGTAGTCGCGTTAAAGTAGAGCGATGTGGCAAAAGAAAGTGCATTTCTCTCAGGTCATTTTTTTTCTTTCCTTCTTTATGTCTTGTTATCGAGTCAACAAGAGGGAAAGCTTCTTGCTGACGTCACCTCCTGCTGCCGAAATCTATTGCAGCCCTTTGTCCCCCTAACACACATCATGTGCTGATGTTAAGGCACATACCAGGACAAAAAGCTATTATTTTCAAAACTCGTAATTATCTTTCAATTACATTACATATAATCCCATGTAGGTCAGACTTTCTTTAATTTGTTGTTATAGCTTGTATTTTTATATAATAAATGTATTCTTATAATTAAAAATTAAAGCATTTTAACAAGCCAATGGGTCAAATAAACCATGTTTTGGTTTCTGCATCCAAGATATTTTACAAAACATAAGGTGGTTTAGAAAAAAATAAACATTAGTCATAAGTACAATGATTTGTGTTCTGAATATGCTTGACAACACTTAGGCTACTGGTAAATTAGCGTTTGTTACTCTGAACACATTTTAGTGTGATTTTCTGTAAATCATGGTAAAACGGCACAGTATATTTAAAGTAGTACTATATGTACCAGGCCTGTAGCCAGGGAAGACCCCTGACAAAGATCCAGAATTTGTCTCACACTGTAAAACTCAATAAGTTAGGGTAACTCAAACCATTTGAGGAAACCAATTGTAACAAATAATTTAAGTTCAAAAATGAATCCTAATGAGAACTGTTAACTTAATAAATTTGAGTAAACAATGTAATTTGAGCATTGTAAACCCCAATAAATGAAGAGAACTCAAACCAACTGAGTACTGTAAAACTCAAAAAGTTAAGTCAACTCAAACCGTTTGAGGAAACCCATTGCTACAAACCATTTAAGTTAAAAAAACGAATCTACATGAGTACTGTGAACTTACTCCATTTAAGTTAGAGTAATGAGGTATTTCATTAACTCATTACCTTCAACACAGAGTGCAAAAGTCTTTTCAAATGAGCAGAGTTAAATTTCAGTAACTTTTGAGTTAATTACACTCATTTCAATTGATAAAGTTGACTGTTGGGTTTTACAGTGCATTCATGAGCTCTATTGTCTTATTTTAGCTGTTATGCCATAATAAATAGTAAAAATAACCCATCGAAAAAGGCTTTAAGACTAAGCGGAATCCTAGTGGGATCCTAAGGAATCGTTAGTTAATCAGTTTTGGCCAAGAAAACATCTGGCATAAGTGTCATATTTTACTAAATAGAGAAAACATTTGACAAGTAACGTTTATTCTAAATCATCCAAAAGTGTGGTTATGATGACCATCCGACAAGTTAATTCAGCTAAAAATAGTGCTTAAGGTGTCACCTTACTTCAGTATTTAAATCTCATATAATAATAGAAAATGAGGAGAATAACTGCAAAAAGGTCCACTTTTTTGAGAAAAAAAAAAGAGTCACTCCTTTTACCAGTCTGGCTACGGGCCTGTGTTTACAGTCATTTAACGTGCTACACATAATCTGGCCTATTCACGCATACACACAAACACACAGCAACTTCCAGTGCTACAGAAATCTTCACAAAAAACTTCACTTAATTTTAACAAAAAGAAAAAATTATATAATATGATTTAAAACAATTTGTCTATAAGGACACATAAACTGGTTTAAAATCTCACAAACCTCATAAACAAATTGGTTTAAAATTGTAGTAGATAAATAACACAACACTGAATAACACGCATTGTCTAAAATACATACAGTGCGTATTTGTAATCCAGCTGGAGTGCATTTGTGACACATCTACTGATCTGTTGAACCTTATAAAGTCTGTCTTTCTGAGTAAAAACCATTTGTGAAATGCTAAAAAATATTCTTTTGTCCATCAGAAACTACCAAAGCAACAAGCCACTCAATCAGTCATTGTTCTTGAGTACTATTTTTATTAGAACTATTTATTTACTCATTTATGTATTGTGACCAATTAGTTTTTTCAGTTGATTGACTTTGAAGACATTTAAATCACTGTGAACAAGAAGATGCTGCCGAATTTTAATTCATTACGATTGCACATTTCCAACTGAAACAGAATATTGAATACATTTTTGTGTGCTTTTCCTCATGGATCACTCTCATCAAATTAATGATTGGAGGGACTTGGCTGAGCATACTGCATCCAAGCCGTCAAACTGAGATCAAAGGACTGCCATTCCAGAATGGAAGCAAAAGATTAGGTTTTGATTAAAGACTACCAAACCAAATGGTCGAAGTCAGTTGAAGTCAGAATTTTCCCCCCAAAATTGTAAGCCCCCTGTATATTATATCCTCAATTACTGTTTAACGAAAAAAAGATTCTTTCAACACATTTCTAAACATAATAGTTTTAATAACTAATGTCCAACTACTGATTTGTTTCACCTTTGTCAAGATGACAGTACATAATATTTTACCACACTGTAAAAAAAATCCATAATTTAACTTAAAAAAGGTAAAATAACAGCCATTAAATGACAGAAATTTACCAAAAAATACCACACAATAAATTTTAATTAAAAGAAATTTCTTTAATTTAACATCCATTATTATACGACACATTTTTGTAATTTAACAGTCGTTATTTTACTATATTTTTGGCACCCCTGTAAAATTACATATATTTTTTGAGTATATATTATTCACGATACTAGTTTTCAGCTTAAAGTGCAGTTTCAAGACTTATCTAGGCTAATTATGCAAGTAATTGTATAACAATGCTTTGTTCTGTAGACAATCAAAAAAAATAACTTCTTAAGGTGCTATAATATAATTAAAAAAACGTAAAATAACGGCCAATAAGTTACAAACAGTTACCATAAAATAACAGTTAAATTACAGAAATTTACCAGAAAGATTAATATAAAGAAGTTTCTGTAGTTTAACGTCTGCTATTGTACGGTAACAAAAAATTTTACGGTGTAAATAAAACAAATAAGACTTTCTCCAGAAGAAAAAAAATATTATAGGACATACTGTGACAAATTCCTTGTTCTGTTAAACACTGTTCGGAAAATATTTGAAAAAGAAAAAAAAAATCACACGAAGGTTAAACAGTTTGACTTCAACTGTATATGGTTTTTATATGATTTTATATAAACAATTAAGTGCAAAAGTACATTGTTTATAACAAGCACTACCATATACAGTTGAAGTCAGAATGATTAGCCCCCCTGAATTATTAGACCGCTTGTTTATATTTTTTCCCCAATTTCTGTTTAACGGAGTGAACAATTTTCAACACATTTCTAAACTTAATAGTTTTAATAACTCATCTGTAATAACTGATTTATTTACTCTTTGCCATGATGACATGATATTTTTCAAGACACTTCTATACAGCTTAAGTGACATTTAAAAGCTTAACTAGGTTAATTAGATTAACTAGGCAGGTTAAGGTAGTTAGACAAGTTATTGTATAACAATGGTTTGTTCTGTAAATTATCAAGAAAAAATATAGCCTAAAGGGGCTAATAATTTTGTCCCTAAAATGGTGTTTAAACAATTAAAAACTGCTTTTATTCTAGCTGAAATAAAACAAATAAGACTTACTCCAGAAGAAAAAATATTATCAGACACACTGTGAAAATTTCTTTGCTCTGTTAAACATCTTTTGGAAAATATTTTAAAAAAAAGAAGAAAATTCGAATGGGGCTTATAATTCTGACTTCAACTGTACATATAAAGAAATATAAGAAGTAAATATAAGATATAAGAAGAGGGATTTTTTTTTACTTTTATTTTAAGCCAACTTTAAGAATAAGAATCTTTGCTAGCAACTTTAAGACAAAACAATATTTGCTAGCATAATAAACATTGCATTTCTATTTATTTTCATATGGACTTGAAGTATCAAAAAGTGACATATGTAATGTAAAATTGAATATGGTACACCAGGTCAATAGATATGACAAACTTTATTAAAATATGAGATATAAATGTATTTACATGTAATGTCACAACTCTTAATCAGATCAACAGCTTAAATGCGAGGATCTTTGTGAAATTTGTGTGTTGGGTATGAGAGCCATTTGTATAGAACAACAAGGCAAAATAAACTACACCTGTATTTAGTTCAAAGCTTTTTAATTAATTATTCCATTGTAATCAAAGAAAATCACGCAATTACAACCATTACCATGGACTATATACACCACATATCCAGCAAACATTGAGTGGCATGTTTTTCACTATGGTTGACTTGTTTACTATATTGGGTGGAGGACCAAGTTCATTTCTGCAGCTGTAGTCACATCTGGTAGAGTTTATGCCTTTTTAATGTATTTCTATTCTTTACTGGAGTGCTTAGTTAATGTAATACCTCTTTTGAACAAGTATAATGTTTACAATCATTAAAAGGATATTTTATGTAGTATGAATATGTGTAAGTGAAATCTGGATGTGCTTCATCCATCATGCTGCCGTCATGTGACCCAAGAGCATCAGTTGCATTGCTTCACAGCTATTCACAAATCGTCCCAAGTGGCCTCATGGGACATAAACTCAACTTGGGTTCAGCTAATAGAAAAATTCATATAATTACACTTACAAAGTGGTCAAAGAAGTGGTCCCTCTATCTTGCTTTATTGAAAAGATTAATTGGTAAAACAAAATCTTGCCTTTATATTTTTAGTTGAATCAAATTAAGTTTTCTTGTCATCTCAACTTAAATCAATCAAACTGACTAAAATATTCAGTTAAACTTTAAACGATTAGTGTCTTGACTTTTTGTCATATTTTTTTTTACAGCGTATTGCAGTCTTACAGTATTACAGTTTTTTTTTTTTTATCTAT